GTTTGGCTTCCCAGCAACCACGAATTATCTCTGTACAGCAAGTGGACATATCAGGGTTACATGACCTAGAAGAATGTTTCACCACTCCTCTTTAAAATATATTGTAAAAATAACTGTAATGGGATTGATATTAAGGTGAGAACTGCAGAACAGAAGGGAGCTTTTCTCAAGTGTATTCCTTAATAGTAATTACTGAATTCAGCAACTGTTTTAAGTGACTGTTTTCTCAAGGGCAAGACAGAACTAATATAGGTCTGGAAGACAAAACAAAGTATTATAATGAAATGCACGAAGATCTGGAATTGAAAAATCAAAAGGACAAACTTGCTCAGCATTTCCTTTTTCTTTTAAATTTATTTTATACTGGTTTGCTTACAAAATATATATACATTGTTTTTCACACCAGATTTTACCCTTCTTTCCCTCTGCCCATCAAATTGTGCGACCTTATGATTACCCCCTTGCCCTTTTTTAGTAGCCCTCTGCTCCTACTTTTCTTCTTCTTGAATTCTCATATCCATTTTACGAATTATGTATTTGACAATAAGGTCTCGTACTGTATTTGTTCTTATGGCTTAATTAGTTTAATTAGCATAATGCTCTCCAGTCCTTCCCAAGTTATGTAGTAATTTTCGAAATCGTTGCTCTTGTGTGCTGCATTGTATTCCATCGTGTGAATGTACCACAATTTCTCAGTCTGTTCTATTGTGGTAACTCTGACTCTAACTCTGCTAAAGATTATCCAAAAACAACTGGAACAATATATCAATAAGTTGTACAAGCTGGATTTAGAAGAGACTGTGACACTAGGAACATTACAGCCAAAATAAGATGGATCTTAGCTAAAGGCAGAGAGTACCAGATGAATGTCTGTTTGTGTTCCATTGATTATGGAAAGACATTTGACTTTGAGGATCACAATAAATTGTGGCTAACCTTCAGAGGAGTAGGGATCCCAGAACACTTGGTTGTGCTTATGAGAAACCTGTATTTGGACCACGAAGCGGTTGTCAGAGCAAGGAAACCCTGCATGGCTCAGAATCAGGAAAGGTGTACACTCAGGGATGCAGCCTATGTGTCATCAGGATTAGAGGAACAGCCTGTGTTATGCAGATGAGCAGATGACACAACCTTGTTTGTTGAAACTGATAAGGACCTGAGGCTTTTGCTGCAGAAGGTCAAGACAGCAGTCTTCAATATTGATTAAAGTTCAGCATCAAGAAAGAAAAGATTCTCATGACTGGGCCAATTGATTGAGATTTAACTTGAAATTGAATTTGAAGCTGAAATTTTTTTTACAATCAATAGTCAACACTCTTGGTACCAGAAGTCAGGAAATCAAAAGATTAATTGCATTGGGAAAAGCTATCTGAGACCTCTCCAAAGTGCTGAAAAGTAATGATATCAGTCTAGAGACTTAGGTACATCTGATGCAAGGCATGGTCTTTGCAGTTACTTGCTATGTATCAGAATGCTGATGAGTTACTAAGGATGATAGAATTGATGGCTTTGAGTTGTAGTGCTAGAGAAGAGTACAGAACATACCATTGATTGCTAAGAGAACAAAGAGGTATATCCTGTAGGGAGTGAAACCAAATTGCTCCCTGGAAGCAAAGGGTTTGGAACTCTGTCTCTCATACTTTGGATATGTTGCAAGGAGGAACCAATCCTTGGAGAGGGACATTATGCTTGGAGGGTGGAGGGGCAGTGTAGGAGAGGAAGACCTTCAATGAGATGGATTGACACAGTGACTGAGAGTAATAGGGGTAGGTGTGTCAGACACAGTGAGGTTGACTCAAGATAGAGCAGGATTTAGAGCTGTTGTACATGGAGTCTCTATGAGTCACACGTGACACCTAACAACAACAGCAACTTGACTCTATCTAGATACAGCATCCTTAGAATAGGGATCTTTGACTAAGTTTCAGAATCCTTGCCTCCAAGGAGCAGCCTGGTTTCACCCTCTCCAGGACAAACCTGTTTGTTCTCTTTAACAGTCCATGGTATATTCAGTACTCTTCTCCTGCTCCACAGCTTGAAGACATCAATTCTCCTTCTATTATTCTTAGTAATTGTCTAGCTTTCTGATGCATAGCACGTAATTGTGAAGACCATGACCTAGATCAGCCACACCTTAGTCTCCAGACTGACAGCGTTACTCTTCAGTACTCTGGAGTTGGCCATAACAGCTGATTTTACTAGTGTAATTTGTCTTTTGATTTTCTCGGTGCTGTTACCAAGAGTGTTGATTGTGGAGCCAAGCAAACTGAAGATGTTAATAACCTCGATCTCCTCACTGTCTATCATGATGCTGCCAATTGGCCCAGTGGTGAAAATCTTTGTTTTCTTGATGCTAAACTCTAATCAATATTGAAGACTGCTGTCTTGACCTTCTGCAGAAAAACCCACAGGTCCTTATCAGTTTCAGCATGCAATGTTGTGTCATCTGCATAATGCAGATTATTAATAAGTCTTCCTCCAATCCTGATGCCACATTTCTTCTTATAGAGCCCAGCTTCCTGGATAATCTGTTTCGCATATATGTTGAAAAGGTATGGAGCTAGGACACATCTCTGGTGTACACCCTTCCCAATTTTAAACCATGCAATGTTTCCTTACTATGTTCTGATGACTGCCTCCTGGTCCAAGTATAGGTTTTACATAAGCACGACCAAGTGTTTTGAGATTCCTGTTCTCCTCAGAGTTAGCCACAATTTATTGGTATTCACACAGGCAAATCTTTGCATAGTCAGTGAAACACCGTTCCTCCGATAGTCCCTATTTTCAGCCAAGATCGATTTAACATTAGCTGTAATATCCCTAGTACCACCGACTCTTCTACATCTAGCCTGTACATCTGGCAGTTTCTATTCATGTATTGTTCCCGTCGTTTTTGGAGAAATTTCAGCAGAATCTTACTTGCATGCAATATTAATGATATTGTATGCTAATTTCTGCACCTTTCTTTGAAATGGGAACAAATATAGATCTCTTCCAGTCAGTTGGCCAGGCAATTGTCCTCCAGATTTCTTGGCACAACTTTGAGTGCATCCAGGGAAGCAACTGTTTGTTGAAATATGTCAATTGGTATGCTGTCAGTTCCTGGGGCCTTCTTTTTTTGTCAGTTGCTTCAGAGCAGCTTAAACTTCTTCCTTCATTATCACAGGCTCTTACTCATACTTTGTTTCATGAAATTTTTCTGTGACAGACAATTCCTTTTGGTACAGTGACTCTGTATACCCCTTCAATCTTCTTTTAGTGCTTTCTGGGTCATTCAATATTCTGCCCATATCATCCTTAAACATTTGCAACTTGAGGCTTTAATTTGTTCTTCAATTCTTTCAGCTTAAGAAATACTGAGCAAGTTCGGCCCCTTTGATTTTCTGTTCCCATATTTCATTATAATACTTTGATTTGTCTTCCCACTCTGCCCCTTGAAATCTTCTGTTCAGCTCCTTAATTTTCTATTTCTTCCCTTTGTTTTGGCTTCCTGGTGCTCTAGAGCAATATTCAGAGTCTCATCTGACACCATTTTCAGCTTGTCTTTCCTTTTATATGTTGTTTGGTTTTTGTCATGACAAACATTACTTGGTCAACTCTCAATACCTAAACTTATTCATCTTCACATTAAAGGGGGGGGGGACCCTTAAAGAAATCAAAGCAGGAAGAATTTTTTCAAAATATGATAGTTGACCTAATTAGTTACTTACTCTGATGGGGACACAGATACATAATTACATATGTATATTGCTATTGTTGTGTGCCATCAAGTTGGAACTGACTCATAACTGACCCTCTGGCAGGTTTTCAGAGGCAGTTAATCACATGGGAGGAGATTTCTCATCCTTCTCCCATGGAGCAGTTGGTGGCATTTGAATTGTGTGCAGCTGCTTGCCATTAATCGATAGGCTCCCCTTTTTTATATATATTTGCTAGACAAATTGAAAAATTGTGAAAGATTATGAACTAGCATTCATATACTTTAATAGACCAATATTAGCACCAGAGGTATAATTTCTGAGTGATACATCTATTAATATACTAATAAAAATACTGGATATTTAAGTTCATCAGTCTCCATAAGTGGGAGCCCACTTGACAAAAGTTTGGTTTTTAGGGTTTGTTATTTTTTGGGTTTTTTTTAATTTTTAATGCAAAGGTTTTAACTTCTAAAACTCTGAAGGAAATTTTCTATTAAACAACATGGGAACAATTCAAATATTCAACCATAACTGAATGGATTGAGAAATTGTGGTACATTCATCTAATGGAATACTATGCATCACTCAGGCGCAACAATTTCGAAAAATATTATGCCACTTAGGAGAAGCTGGAGAGCATTATGCTGAGTGAACTAGCACAGTCTCATAAGTTTAAATACTGTATAAGACCATTATTATAAATGAATGACTAGTAAAATATGTATGGGAACCCAAGGCAGGAGGACCGGAGGGTGAGGATGAGTAAGCTGAAGTCACAGGATTGCTCAATTTGGTGGGTAGAGAGAAGAGTACAGTAAAAAGGAGGGATCTGGGGGGAAAGACTGTAATGGTGGGGAAGGCCCAAAGGTGATTAATTTTATAAATAATAGGGTTGTACAATTTGATGAGTGGAGCGAAGGGTGGGTAAAGGAAAGGGGAAGATCTAGTGTGAAAAACAATGTATTTGAGCTTTGTAAGCAAACAAGTATAAAATAAAAATTTTATTAAAAAACCCAAAACATAATGGATAAGAATGACTGAATGAAACACATTGTGAATGAAGAATAGTGTGAAACACAATATATACAAACATTGTAAGCAAACCAATTAAAAAAATTTGCAATGAATAAACCATTGATTGTGCAAGAAAATCACTATTAGAAAGCAAAAAATTATGTAAAACACTAATCTTATAAGAGAAAATGCTCATTTTAATATAAAAACTTTTTTCTTTGTTGTGGTTTTAAACAGGCCATATACTCCTATGAATGGAAGACTCTCCAATGTATGGTTTGATAGATTTAAAATATCAAATGACTGCCCAGAACATCTTGAATCAGTTGATGAAATGTGTCAAGTGCTTGCAGATGTCATTGATGATGAAGTAAAAAGCGGCATCAAGAAAAACAGGATATTAGTAGGTAAGATTATTTATTGTATTTTATTACTTTGAATTCTTTATGTAGAATTTTACTTGGGACATTATACAGAAACACTTCTATATCATTTATCACATTCATAGTTTCCAATAAACTCTATTAAAGCATTTTAGAACTATTAGATTTATAATTCATGAAGCATTATTTTTTTCTTCAGATTAAAAGGAAAAAATTATATCCAAGCAGAAATTAGTAAAAATACCTGATAGAAGACCTAAGTAATCAGTTCTTTAAATTGAAGGGGGACACATATTCTAATGTACAAGCTTTCTGTATGTCGTGGACAAGGTGTAAGAGAACGCTGTATACAATATGAGTAACATTTATGTAAACCTAAAAAAAGAAAATAAAACAGCTGAAAAATATACATATGATTAATCCTTTTTGAAGACCTGTTAGAGTCATTTTAGGTTTGCATGAAAATTACACAGACAGTATATGAAGTTCTTATACCACCTCCTCCATCACCATGACACAAAACTCCTCTTATTAACATAATATGTAATATGGTATATGAGTTAATAATATAATGAATGAGTTTTTATGTATAATTCATAACTAAAGTATAGACTTTAGTTTAAAGTCCTATACTTGTGTGTCTTATAATGCTTTTGTCCTATGTTGTTATGTGCCATCGAATTGCTTGCAAATCATAGCGACCCTATGACAGCCTCGCCATCTCCAACACACTCATTCCCACCACCCCACCACTGCCATCACAGAATCGATCCATCTCATTGAGGGGTTTCCTCTCCTGCGC